GCCTTCCCTCCCCACGTCCATCAATGAGCCTTCCCTCCCCACGTCCATCAATGAGCCTTCCCTCCCCACGTCCATCAATGAGCCTTCCCTCCCCACGTCCATCAATGAGCCTTCCCTCCCCACGTCCATCAATGAGCCTTCCCTCCCCACGTCCATCAATGAGCCTTCCCTCCCCACGTCCATCAATGAGCCTTCCCTCCCCACGTCCATCAATGAGCCTTCCCTCCCCACGTCCATCAATGAGCCTTCCCTCCCCACGTCCATCAATGAGCCTTCCCTCAACCACGTCCATCAATGGGCCTTCCCTCAACCACGTCCATCAATGGGCCTTCCCTCCCCACGTCCATCAATGAGCCTTCCCTCCCATGCGGTTCTCCGACACTCATTCTATGGTCCCGGCTGCTGGAACTGCGGAGTGAGTTCTGAGTCGGCCGGCCGACCCGCCTCTCCTCAGGGCCACACCAGCTGCTGCCGGCCCGTTGGAAGTTCCTCTGAGAATGACTCTGTGAACATATAACACATGTACCTCCATCATTGCGTCGGACTTCCTCCAACTTACCAGTTGCCCACAAATCAGCACGGGAAACCCCCGGCCCTTTAAGAGCAACTCCATCCAACTGACAGGGGCCGATTTATAAATGTATCCAGCTTGCCTGTATTAATATCATGTCGGCCTCGGCTGGGTCAGGCTCCGCCCCATGACCCCCAGTATAGGCTCCGCCCCATGACCCCCAGTGTAGGCTCCGCCCCATGACCCCCAGCGTAGGCCGACACAATGTTAATACAGGAAAGGAAAATTACGGTAAGTATTGATAACAATTTTCCATAATACACTGGGCAAATATCATTCCAGCCACTAGAGGGAGCCGAGGAGCATAGGAATGTCCATCAAGTGGCGGGAATGCTGTGCGATCAGCTGATGTCCAGTATAAGGTTCGGTGGATTTATAACTACACCCTTATCTGTTCCTCACCCCCAACAGCGATCTACATTGCCCCCTACAGGGCAAGGAGGGGGCGCTAGGTGTTTTCGTTACGCACTGCGGTGTATTTTTGATGCGTCATGGTTTTTGGTTTGGCCAATGAGGACGGATTTCCGACCAGTGACCTCGTAGTTGTGGATCTACTTCCTGTCTGTAGAAGGTTCATTCATCCAGGTCACATGGTATATCTGTAAAAAAATATAAATCAAGGCAACTTTATTTTTCTTGAAGACGTTTCGCTGGTCATCCGGCTAGTTCTCTCAATTCAGAAAGCTGGTCAAACGACCAGCAAAACGTCTTCAAGAAAATGCAGCCAGTCCCGTTTTTACAGATAATTAATTGCTTGCCGTCTTGGATTTGTGATGGCTCCCGTCTCGATGGGGGGGGGGGGGGTGGGGACTCCCCGCGGAGTTTTTTTTTGTTTGGGTTTGGGGCGGCCCCCGGCCCGGGGGGGGGGGGGGGGGTCGGACTCCTCTAGCGGCCCCTCCGCGTGCCCGATCCCTCTGCGGCGTCTCTCTTGTGGCTTTAACTGGTCTGCGGAAGTTGCGGGCCGTATCCCGGGAACCTGGATTTCTGTGTCTCTGGTGCTGAAGGATCGGATCACCATGGTGACATTTACCCCTCCTATGGCGACCGCCGCCATCTTTCTTCGTAGGCGACATGAGTGAAGCAGATATTGGATGCGTGCAGAGGCGGCGGTTCCGGGTCACACACGATGGCCTCGGGGGAACGCGACGAAGAATCCGTCTCATCCACGCGGATGTCAATGAAAAATGGACCCTCTACGTTTTCTTTTTGTACCTGGGGCGGGAAACGCATCATAATGCACAATACACATCACCATTGGCCTCTGTGGGCCCTAGGACCCCTTCTATGGGCATTTTTGGGACATGCCTCATCTTCCAAAACCCAACGTAGCCCGCAGATATGAACGGGCCGATTGGCAGGGCTTAAAAATTCCGCTCGTCTGTGAGGAGAGGACGCCGGAGCCGGACGAGCAGCTTCCCAAAAATTAGACAGCCGGCCGGGAGCTTTACATTCAAGTGATCGGGTGACTCTAGAGACGCTCCATCGCTTGTATTACGGCTGTCACTCTTTAAGGCAATATACACTTTTTGCCCTGACCTAACCTAACCCACCTCTCCCCCCTCCATAGATGTATACTTACCTCGATCTGTGTTTGCTTACATCCAGTGCTGAATGTCTCCCCCTCCTGGCAGCACCTGCACATTACAGTTCCCAGATCCGCTGTGCCCGGGACCGTCATGGCTGCTTTGTGACCGGAGATCAGTATACGATCTCCGAATGCAGGAAGTGATGTATACTACATCACTTCCTGTATACTACATCACTTCCTGTATACTACATCACTTCCTGTATACTACATCACTTCCTGTATACTACATCACTTCCTGTATACTACATCACTTCCTGTATACTACATCACTTCCTGTATACTACATCACTTCCGCATTCTGCTGTCACTCTCCAGCTACAGAAGCCGGGGAGAAGCAGATCTCTGCTTCACCAGCTTCTCTGGGGGTCCCTAGGAGACATTAGGGGTCTTGGAGACCCCTGATGTCTCCATAAAGAGGACCTGTCATGTACATTGGATATCACATAGGGGGCTTGTTAGCCCTCCATGTAATAGCAATAAAGTTAAAGGAGAACTATGGGGTCAGGGCTTTTCCCCATAGTTCAAAAACTAGCGTCCTCCCGTCACCCGAGGCTCAGTATATAGGGAGCTGTAGCTTGCGGTATACTGAGATGCCGCAGCTGAAGCGGATTCTGACAATTGTGCCGGGATCCGCCCAGCTGTGTGAGTGATCGCGTGCCCGATCCCTCTGCGGCGTCTCTCTTGTGGCTTTAACTGGTCTGCGGAAGTTGCGGGCCGTATCCCGGGAACCTGGATTTCTGTGTCTCTGGTGCTGAAGGATCGGATCACCATGGTGACATTTACCCCTCCTATGGCGACCGCCGCCATCTTTCTTCGTAGGCGACATGAGTGAAGCAGATATTGGATGCGTGCAGAGGCGGCGGTTCCGGGTCACACACGATGGCCTCGGGGGAACGCGACGAAGAATCCGTCTCATCCACGCGGATGTCAATGAAAAATGGACCCTCTACGTTTTCTTTTTGTACCTGGGGCGGGAAACGCATCATAATGCACAATACACATCACCATTGGCCTCTGTGGGCCCTAGGACCCCTTCTATGGGCATTTTTGGGACATGCCTCATCTTCCAAAACCCAACGTAGCCCGCAGATATGAACGGGCCGATTGGCAGGGCTTAAAAATTCCGCTCGTCTGTGAGGAGAGGACGCCGGAGCCGGACGAGCAGCTTCCCAAAAATTAGACAGCCGGCCGGGAGCTTTACATTCAAGTGATCGGGTGACTCTAGAGACGCTCCATCGCTTGTATTACGGCTGTCACTCTTTAAGGCAATATACACTTTTTGCCCTGACCTAACCTAACCCACCTCTCCCCCCTCCATAGATGTATACTTACCTCGATCTGTGTTTGCTTACATCCAGTGCTGAATGTCTCCCCCTCCTGGCAGCACCTGCACATTACAGTTCCCAGATCCGCTGTGCCCGGGACCGTCATGGCTGCTTTGTGACCGGAGATCAGTATACGATCTCCGAATGCAGGAAGTGATGTATACTACATCACTTCCTGTATACTACATCACTTCCTGTATACTACATCACTTCCTGTATACTACATCACTTCCTGTATACTACATCACTTCCGCATTCTGCTGTCACTCTCCAGCTACAGAAGCCGGGGAGAAGCAGATCTCTGCTTCACCAGCTTCTCTGGGGGTCCCTAGGAGACATTAGGGGTCTTGGAGACCCCTGATGTCTCCATAAAGAGGACCTGTCATGTACATTGGATATCACATAGGGGGCTTGTTAGCCCTCCATGTAATAGCAATAAAGTTAAAGGAGAACTATGGGGTCAGGGCTTTTCCCCATAGTTCAAAAACTAGCGTCCTCCCGTCACCCGAGGCTCAGTATATAGGGAGCTGTAGCTTGCGGTATACTGAGATGCCGCAGCTGAAGCGGATTCTGACAATTGTGCCGGGATCCGCCCAGCTGTGTGAGTGACAGCTGGCTCCGCCTATCCAGAGGCAGAGCCAGCTGTACCCGCCCCCTCCCCCGTCCGTTCCGCCAGTCAGCGCTGGAGGATCGGAGCGGGGAGAAGGGAATCCAGCCCCTCCCCTGTCACAGCAGAGAGCCGTGACAGGATCGAGAGGTGAGCGAACGCCGGTATGTGTTCGCTCACTTCCCGATCTACTGGGCCGACCTGTGACCTCTCACTGTCACAGGTCGGCTAGAACTATGAGGTGAGTGAAAAGCCCCTCCCCCCTCATAGTTCTCCTTTTAAGTGTAAAAACAAAAAGTAATAAAAAAAATGAGAGCATTAAAAAAAAATTTCTTTTTTAAGTCCTCCGCCCCCCACATAAACACGCAAACATGCGTCGGTTGCGCCTACGTGCGAAAAACGATGATTGCGCCTGTTGTGCCGCACATGTTACAAATCGCAGGGAACGTCTGAGTGCAAGCAGAAATTTTAGGGCCACTAATTGCTGATCACACAAAACTGACGAGCGGTAAAAGCGTCGCCTTTGGCCAATTTTCAGTGTGGTCGTTTTTTAAAGGAGAACTATGAGGTCAGGGCTTTTCCCCCGTAGTTCTCCTTAGGGTAACGGGAGGACACAAACTAGCGTCCTCCCGTCACCCTAAGCTCAGTATACGCCGATCTACTGAGCCGATATAGTCCAGTCAGCTGACTGGTGAGACACCCTTAAAATGTTCCCAGCCCTGCTGATTGGGTTACGTTGTTTTTTGGGATGACATTCCCGTCGTTTTGAGTCACGAGCGGAAACGCGAAAGGTAAAAATGGGCCTTTTATTGGGATACATTGTATACAATATACAGAGCAATGGATACGATATCTCTATGGAAGAGATCTGTACAGAAGTCCATCGATGGGAACAAATCGGCCGGAATGTCATCGTTTCATGAAGTTCCTCTCCAGGGCCGAGGCCGTCCTCTGAATGCTGTGAATGTTCCTCTTGACTCGGTCCTCCACGGAGGAGGAGGCGGCGCTCTCCAGCTTCATCTTATGTAGGAACTTGACCTCCTTCCTTGACCGATCTTTCTGCTCCTCCCGCTCGTCCTCCTGCTTGTACTTCCTCACGCTGTTTTCTCTCTCCACCTCCCTCTGCTTGGCGTCCTGCATCATCTCTAACCTGCGCTGCTCCAGCTCCTCGGCGGACATCTTCTTGGTGTAGCCGGACGGCTTCTGCCTCTGATACTTCTCTTCTCTCTTTGGGGAAGGGCTCCTCCTGTACTTGCTTTCCGTCTTGGATTTGTGATGGCTTCGGTCTCGGTGGGGACTCTTCGAGCGGTCCCTCCGCGTGCCCGATCCCGACGCGTCGTCTCTCTTGTGGCTCTTACTGGTCTGCGGAAGCAGCAGGCCGTATCCCGGCACCTTCTGGCGTGCAGGAGAGTGCGGCCGGTGCTTGTGGGACCTGCTCCGCTCCTGGCCGCTCTCCTCGTCGCTGCCGCTGGAGCTCCTCTCCTTCCGGTGCTTCTTCTTCTTCTTTTTGCTCTTCTTGTCCAAGCTGCTCTGCAGAAGTTCTTTAATCTTCTTCATCTTGACGGGATTGCTGAGGACTTCCCTCTTCTTCTCGTCTTCCCGCTTCCGGATCATGAAGAGCGGATCTTCGCGGATCTTGTTGGACATGTCCAAGGCGGAAGTGGCTCCGGACACGCTGAAGATGGACCCGGGGAGGAGGCCGGTCTCGGTCGAGGGCCCCGATTCCGGTTCCTGCATTTTGTCCAGGATGAACTTATCCACCGGGCGCCCTAGCAGGTACTCCTCCCTGTTCACCATCCCGCCCGGTCCCTGGTACATCCAGTCCAGCTTCTCTTCTTTTTTCTTCACGGCCCCCGTGTCCTCCGCGAACCTCTGCATCTCCTCCCGGGCCCGCTCATCACGCAGCTCCCGCTGCAGCTCCTCGATCTTCTTCTGTTCCGCCTCGTGCCTCTGCTCGGCCTTCCACACCTTCTCCACATTGCGGAGGGTCTGCGGGTGCCAGCTTTTCTTCAAGTTCAAATCGCCCCCCCCCATTGGCTTATGAGACGGCCCGAACTTTCAAGGCTCTGGATCGATAAGACTTGCTCCGGAAAGCTCTGTGATGTCATCAAACGCCGACGGAACTGGGAGGAGAAAAGGAAAAATCACCTTATTGCGAGTCAGATGTTGAAGGACAAAGTGCACTCATCCTTTTTACCCCAACCTCCCTCTTCACAGAGGGAAACTCACCCTAATCCCACGGCATGTTCGCTAACATCAAGCGGTGGAACTCTCACGGTCCTGGCCACTCCTGAGTCTTAGACACCCATAGACCTCTATTGGGCCGCCCTGAGGCTGAAGACGCAGAAAGACAGGGAAGTCTATGGAACTGTAATGTGCAGGTGCTGCCAGGAGGGGGAGACATTCAGCACTGGATGTAAGCAAACACAGATCGAGGTAAGTATACATCTATGGAGGGGGGAGAGGTGGGTTAGGTCACAGCAAAAAGGATAAGTGTATATTGCCTTAAAGAGCACCTGTCCTGTAAACAAGATATACCCAATACCCATGACAAGTAAGCTGCCGTAATTTATAGCTTACAATCAATCTGCGGGTATACTGAGAATGGGGCACGAACCACCTAGGTGCATTGCTGATCGTTGCTATGTGACCGGGGGCTGCTGACAGCGCTGGGGGTGCACCAGTGAGTGACGCCCCTCCTACTGCAAGGCTTCAATGCTCGCTGTTGCCTAGGTTACCAGTTTCAGGCTTTGGCGCTCCATCTGTTGCTCGCACTCCGGCGACATCCTGCATTGTGAATGGGGACGTCAAGGGTCCCGTCCACAACCCGGAGGGGAGATTCCGCAGCGTGTTGTGACGCTTTTCACCTCATCGCAATGTGTCGAGGTGAATAGAAATGAAAGAAATGACACCTTGTGACGTTTCAATAAAGCTTGGGGGGGGGGGGGGGAAGAGGTAAACAAAGCGATGCACCGTAATAAGCGGATTGCTTCACCTCACCGGCGGCTACCCGGTACTGGACACTGACACTATGATTGGCCCCCTCAGTGACAAGATTTTATAAATAACGGAAATCTTTATATATAGATCTCCATGTAAAGTAAATGAGCACACAGAGGGGGAATTGAGGTCTACGGCCTAGTCAGGCCTCTCCCCCTGCTCACTAATATCCGGTACCGAGGACTCCCATCCCCCACTGTGTACAGTATAAAGTGTCACCGGGATCACGTAATAAAAGCTCACCGTCTGTTCCGCTCTCCGAATCCGCTCAGCTCTCTTCTTCTTCCAGGTCCCAGAAGAAACCACAACGAGGCCTGAAAAACTCCAGAACGAGGCTTGGATGATCCGAGAACGAGGCTTCTAGTCATGTGACGCAAATACTCTTCCTCTATAGGCTGATGGGCACACCGAAGGCTTCTGGGAGATGTAGTTTATTTGACAATGCGCTCAAAGCAATCTTCTTCCTAGTCTTAGGGGAAATCAGAACGAGGCTTTCAGTCATGTGACGTAAATACTGCTCACTATAGGCCGATGAAGACGCGGAGCGGCGCTGGGAGATGTATTTCCTGGACTTGTACCGGCCTCCTCCCTGGTCCTAGAGACCTATCAGTCATGTGATACAAATCGCGTTCTCTATAGGCGGATTGGATAGCAGAGGAATGCTGGGAGATGTAGTTTACCGGGCTTCCTGTTAGACTTTTCCTGGGCCTGGAAGAAACCAGAACGAGGCTTGAAAAGCGCAACTTCGTTGGTTTCCTTCTAGGACAAGGAAGAGAAAGAAAACTTGAGAGGACACCCAGTAAACTACATCTCCCAGCATTCCTCTGTGTCCTCCTCAACCTATAGAGAGAGATTGGTGTCACGTGACATACATAGAACGTGAGGGACAGGAAATCTTAATGATTTTAACAAATCGTCCGTAAATTGAGGTGTATGTGGAGGTTCACCACAGCTTCAGTATACAATCAATCAGTGAGCGATGCCATTAATACTTCATGAACACCTTCAATGATACGGTGGTCACGTGACTTACTGCGATCTTAGTCCTACAGTCTATATTATATAACTGAAGGCTGAGGTCATTCCGCCGGTGCTTCTGCTTAATGAATTAATAATTCAAGTAATACAATTAATATTAATAAATCAATAATTACTCTGATGTAATGATGTGCATTAGTGATCCACGCCCCCCGCACTCAGCTTCTCGTCCAGTCCTGGAAAGGCGTCTGGTCATGTGACCGTACAAGCTTTGGTGACGTCAGACGCAGCGCCGTGAGAGTGACAGGGGGCTGCCATCTTGGTGTTTTCCGCTGTGACAGCTACCGGTACCGTGTCGGTTTCTCTCATGTGGAGTTCCCGAGTGTCCGGGCTCGGTATATCCCGGCTCCTCGCCTCCCGCCTGGGCCTGTCGCCTGGTGTGGGCAGAGCGGGGGCTCCGGGACGGAGGATAGCGGCCACCAGCCATGTAGCGCAGGGGGCTCAGATAGACAGCAGGGGGCGCTCTGGGTACATCGGTCTATCGGATCCGCGCGCAAGCGGTAGGCTGCAGTTCCAGCGGACGGACAGCAGAGGACGCGCTGGGCTTATCAGTCCATCATCCGTACACACAGAGGACAGCCGGCTGCTCCTGCGGCTCGCCACTGGGGGGCGCCAGAGGGACAATGGACAGAATAACGTGAACCCCAACTCAAAGCCGGCAGTCCCCCTGTTTATTGCTGCCGGCCTGCTGGCTTATTGCTACAGCAAAGGAGACCAACAGAAGGGTAATCATATTAAATATCTTTTTCATTTCTATATTAAACCAAAGACTTTAATGCACGCTATGACGTTTATAAATAAAAAATGACGCTACGCAGCGTCCTCGCTGACATCATCACCTGTGTGCACTGCGCCATTCATCACATGTGAACCCCATCTGTTTTCATTTGTGGATGGAGTGTGGGTTGGAATCCCCGTGGGGTTTATTATCTGTGTCCCCAGCGGGCAGATTTCAATTTACTTCCTGTGTGGTCACCGGAACAGGAAGTGAAGTTGAATCTCCCCAGTGAGGTCACGAGTGCCAGTGAAATGCTGACAGAGGAGTGTCACAGCTATACTAAGAGATTGCAGATTAATACAGGAAGACTGAACATGGCCGTATTCATCCCCCCCCCCCTGCAGACTTCCAGAAAATAAAGCTGTGATCTAATTACAGGAGCAGGGGGATGAAGGATCTGGGACATCCCTTCTACACACTGAGTACCGCTGCCATGGTTGCAAGATGGAGACATTTCATAGATGTATTTCTGTCCCCACAGGTGAGCAGCTGCTGGAGGCGGTGCGGACCGGAAACTTCCAGGAAGTGGACAGGTGAGTGATGATCATCCCTATGTACATAGATACCCCCCCTCCCCCTCCTATATCTGGTTGTAGGAATGTACAGACCCAGCGCTGATGTGCGCTGATATGGAGGATGAGGATGACTCGTGTCATTGAACTGGACGATGCCAGGCTCTGTGCGGCCCTTTAGTATAGAGAACCTGATCTCCATGTGTTGGGGCAGCGAGGGTATGGGTGGGGGCGAAGAGGGGGCAGCGAGGGTATGGATGGGGGCAGATGGGGAGGGGCAGGGAGGGTGTAGTTGGAGCAGCGAGGGTATGGATGGGGGCAGATGGGGAGGGGCAGGGAGGGTGTAGTTGGAGCAGCGAGGGTATGGATGGGGGCAGATGGGGAGGGGCAGGGAGGGTGTAGTTGGAGCAGCGAGGGTATGGATGGGGGCAGATGGGGAGGGGCAGGGAGGGTGTAGTTGGAGCAGCGAGGGTATGGATGGGGGCAGATGGGGAGGGGCAGGGAGGGTGTAGTTGGAGCAGCGAGGGTATGGATGGGGGCAGATGGGGAGGGGCAGGGAGGGTGTAGTTGGAGCAGCGAGGGTATGGATGGGGGCAGATGGGGAGGGGCAGGGAGGGTGTAGTTGGAGCAGCGAGGGTATGGATGGGGGCAGATGGGGAGGGGCAGGGAGGGTGTAGTTGGAGCAGCGAGGGTATGGATGGGGGCAGATGGGGAGGGGCAGGGAGGGTGTAGTTGGAGCAGCGAGGGTATGGATGGGGGCAGATGGGGAGGGGCAGGGAGGGTGTAGTTGGAGCAGCGAGGGTATGGATGGGGGCAGATGGGGAGGGGCAGGGAGGGTGTAGTTGGAGCAGCGAGGGTATGGATGGGGGCAGATGGGGAGGGGCAGGGAGGGTGTAGTTGGAGCAGCGAGGGTATGGATGGGGGCAGATGGGGAGGGGCAGGGAGGGTGTAGTTGGAGCAGCGAGGGTATGGATGGGGGCAGATGGGGAGGGGCAGGGAGGGTGTAGTTGGAGCAGCGAGGGTATGGATGGGGGCAGATGGGGAGGGGCAGGGAGGGTGTAGTTGGAGCAGCGAGGGTATGGATGGGGGCAGATGGGGAGGGGCAGGGAGGGTGTAGTTGGAGCAGCGAGGGTATGGATGGGGGCAGATGGGGAGGGGCAGGGAGGGTGTAGTTGGAGCAGCGAGGGTATGGATGGGGGCAGATGGGGAGGGGCAGGGAGGGTGTAGTTGGAGCAGCGAGGGTATGGATGGGGGCAGATGGGGAGGGGCAGGGAGGGTGTAGTTGGAGCAGCGAGGGTATGGATGGGGGCAGATGGGGAGGGGCAGGGAGGGTGTAGTTGGAGCAGCGAGGGTATGGATGGGGGCAGATGGGGAGGGGCAGGGAGGGTGTAGTTGGAGCAGCGAGGGTATGGATGGGGGCAGGGAGGTTGTAGTGGGGATAGGGTTGCCACCTGTCCAGAATTCACCCGGACAGTCCGGGTTTTGAATGCTGTGTTCGATTTTCATGGGGGCAGTAACCCGGACACATGATGTCAGGCAGACAGGGGCAACCAAAATGAAGATGGGGGCTGCTGGCCCCACACTAAAAATAGTCTCAACTGTGATATTTACATATGAATAAGCCGCGAATCATTCTCCCAAGAAAAAATTTCAGCGCGTCGCTAGAGTGTTCGGGTTTCACTTGAAGAAAAGGTGGCAACCCTAAGTGGGGACCATGCGGGTGCAGGCGGGGTGGCAGGGAGGGTGCAGATGGGGGGGGCAGTAAGTGTGTTTCTATCTGATGGCCTCTAACCGGGAGCTTCACGTTTCAGGTTACTGGGGGAGAAGGTGGACCCCAACACGCGGCACAAGCTGGGCTGGACCCCCCTCATGGTGGCAGCGATGGCGAGGAATCAGAGGTACGGTGAATGGTCTCCTATGTCTGTGTCAGCTGTTGGGGGTTCCATGAGGTGCCGGCAGGAATTTGTGTCACCGCGTTCTAGGAAGTGGGTCTCGCAGGATGAAGTTTTCCTGCCAGCAGAGCCTCGTATACGTACCGATGATGTGCTGTTCATGTCATGCCAGCAGGTGGCGCTCTCCTCTCCATTGCACGTTGACCGGACTCTCTCTAGCCGCTCTGCTGTAAAATGTCTGTTTTTATAATGTACTCGCTCAGGTTAACTTGTCCTATCAGTGACTCCTCCCCCTTTCCCTCCACCTCTGCGGACACTTCCACCCCAACACTCATTTAGATGTATACGGGTTCAGTCTCTAATGATCAGAACTCCCCACAATGGTTAGCCATTGACCATGTGATCCTCGCCCCGGGCCTTAGGTCATGTGATGGAGCAGCAGCATTTTTCATCAAGAAAGGAGAATCGTGTTACTCAAAATAGAAGACCCAGTTCCATCTCCAGAACATCGGTGATCCAGTGGGGGAGGGATGCAGAGGTGGTGGGTGGGGTAGGGGTGGGGGGAGAGTGCATCATGGGAAATGAGGGCTTATAATGCAGAAGATCTGTGAGGGATCTCTTGGTGTGACCTGTAGGGTACTATGGAGTCTGAGGATCATCTCGGAGGTCTGGGTTTGGCCAGCAAGAGCTTGGGTTCCTCTGAGGGAAGGGCAGTGAATGAGGATCGTACAGAAGCTATGGAGCTCACCAGAGGTAGCTTAGGTTCTTCTGAGGGGTGGAGTCTGAGGAACATCTAGATCAGGGGCGGCCACAATTTTTTCGTCTGGAGATCTACTTTTCAATGAGATCTACCAACGAAAAAGCACCTGCGTTCTGGGGGCGGGAGGGGGTGTGTCGATGCATTGAAGTCAATGGCACCGCAGCCAGGCCCCTCGCCCACTGCAAGCACTATTTTTGCAGATCGCACTGGACCGGAATGCTAATGTGCCTGCGTTCCGGGTGCGGGCGATCGCACTGTGGGCAAAGGGCCTGGCTGCGGTGTCATTGACTTCAATACAAATCCACGCC